AAAAATTAAAACCATCATTAATACGTTATCATCTGTTTCTAAACCGTTTTTCATATACACCCATGATCTCTACTTTTTCAATTTGTTTTGAATCCCAGTGCGGCAGTGCCACGATCTCTCCCTTTGTCATATAACGTGTTTATAACAAAATTTAAACGAATCTTGAAAGCACAACTGATCTTTTCATTTTTTCTTTTTTCTTTTTATTTTGATTTTGACAGATTTCTTCATTTTTTTCTTTTTTTCTTTTATTCTTAGAACCTTTTTCAGTTTGGATTTAGATTATTTATATTTTGGTCGCTATGGTAAAATAAAATTGTCTTGGAACCTCGAATCAGTCGGACTGGGGCCGTTCGGTTTGGAAGCGCGAAGAGAAGAACTCAATGATTTTGAAGAGATTCATATAATTTGCAGGTATCCAACAAATCATACGAAACTCATTCTTTTTTTTGTCAACATACGAAACTCATTCTGTAAAATCAAAGTAAAATAATAGCATCAATATTTTGTATTGTTCGGTTTTGATTTTTTTTTAGTTCGCTGCAGACATGTTTGAGAAGTCAAAGGTGGTTGAAGAAGAACATATGAGCAATCAAATAATTTTGTGGATCAGATCTGTTTTGAATAAAGTTGGGAAGGTTGAAGATGAATGGATAGGATGGGTAAAATGCAACACGTTGGACTATTTAGAATTCCAGGTAAAAAGTAATTTTGTTTACTTTTCATTTTAAAAAAATATTACAGCCTCAAATTTCTAATGCTGTAAATTATTCTTTAAGCTGTAAAAGTTACTCAAAATTGTGTCAATTGTTTTTGAAATTTATCAAGTTTTTACTGCATAGTTTTAAAGACTATGTAAAACATAAAACAAATAAGATTACTGAATAAAACCAGTATTCACCTAAAACCGTAAATAGTAATTTAAGATAATGGTTTTCATCTTTTTATAAAATGAAATTTAAATTTTTGATTTTAAATCTTAAAAATTCAACAAACTATTAAAATAATAAATGTGGTATAATTTTGTTTAAGTGTGTGTTTTTCATAAAATATGCTAGATAATTAAACATGAAATGTTCAAATCATAATTGCAATTATAATATATAAAAGGTCTTAAATTATAAATTTATAAGACACACCGTATCACATTCCATTTATGTTACATTAAGTATTTGATATTCTGCACAACATTGACAATGGTAATAACTATATGATTATATGTTAGTATTTTAATTATTTTGTGAAAAAGATTACAACACATGTATCCATGTTTATTATAGTAACAGAATTATTAGTTTACCTTACTAAATTGTTTTGCTTGAATGCAAACACTGTTCATAAATATTTGATTTCTTCTGAGTTAAATTATAACATAATTAAATAATATTAAGATGGTAAATTGATTGTTGATAAAAATATCATTTGACCCGTGTGAAGCACGGGAGTTAATACTAGTAGAAAATAAAACTAGAGAATATAAAAAGTCATATAGTATATAAAGTTAATAAATTTTGATTTGAAATTCTAAAATGACATTTATTTTGAATCAAATTTTTTACTCTATAATAACAATTAAAATAACGGATGGAGTATAAGTTATATATAAAATATTTTAAAATTGTTGAACTTTCTATATATTAGTTTGCTTAATAATTTGACAAATCCAATAAATAGGTATTAGAAAGTCAACAAATACATGCAAGGATTTGAAATAATTAATTTAATTGATAAAAGTATAAATAAAAAATTATTATGTTTAAATAAATAATACAAATATTTAATATATATATATATATATATATATATATATATATCAATACTATTAAAACAGAAGCACTTTTTATCTACTTGCAAGTAATCTACCTCAAAACATTACATTTATTTAATTTTATGTTATGTCACATAAAACAAACTTAGTTATTATTAAATAAACATATAATATTAATATAATAATTAAATATATTCAAAATAAAAATCGAAGCAGCTGGCTAACTTTTTGTTATTTGTGTTCTTGGTCCTTAGATTGTTTGCTTCTCATTATTATGGCACAAACCTTTTACTTATAACACATTGTTTTAATTTACTCCCCAAACTTTTTAATTATACACTACAAACCCTATTATATGTAATCAACATATAAATACAAAATACATATCTAAATAAAATCTAAAATGAGAAAAATTGAGCTAAAATTGTAGAGTGAATTGGGTAGAAATCCATAAAAAATGGGAAATTAGGGATTTACCATTTTTTGTGGGGAAAATAGTAATGTGTGGGGAGGAGAGATAAAGGAAGAAATAGGGTATAGAGTGAATTATGAGGTTTAGTGTGTGTATGGAGTGCAAATACTCAAAATTGTATGCATCATAAAATGTCTTCAAAAATTAAAATAAATTTTAAAATAATATATATTTTACTTATTATAATTGATATAACTAGTGTAACATGTAAATTTAGTGTATCTATCATTATTGTAACATGTAAAACTAATACAACTGGTATAATACTAAGTGATAATATGTTTACTTTTTTCAAGAAACTAAGATTATA